AAGGAAAAGTACAAGTCCTGCATGAAAAAATATTAGGAGTTAGATTAATCTCCCTGGATGGAAAGTAGACATAAGGGAAATGGTTGTGGACGCTGGTTGGAACAAAATAAAAGGAATTTGTTTCAGGGTGCCACAGAAGTGTACAGAGTTAGTTCAGGGTGAGAATGCTTAGTGGAATCATGATGATGATGATGATGATGATGATGATGATGATGATGGCGATGATGGTGATGATGGTGATGGTGATGGTGATGATGGTGATAGTGATGGCGACGACGGTGATAACGATTTGGATTTATATGGCTGCCCATCTCACTGTAGGGACTTTGGGTGGCTTACAACATTTAAAAACAATACAAAATCATAATACAATAATAATTTAAAACAGAACACACACATAGCAGCTGAGGAACCAAACTAGTCTAAACAAAACAATAATTAGCAGTTCCCACCCCAACCCCCATAACAACAACAATAACCCTCCTTTATTTTGCGCAACCCAACATGATAATGTAATGTTCCCACCTCCTATTTTCCCCACAACAACAACCCTGTGAGGTGGGTTGGGCTGAGAGAGAGGGACTGGCCCAAAGTCACCCAGCCGGCTTTCGTGCCTAAGGGAGGCCTAGAATTCACAAGGATACAGATGAAGAAAAATGCATGTAAGACAATGACTGCTGCAAGAAGTGAAGATCAGAGAAAGATACTGCATAATGTGCATATGGAGAAAAGGACAGTTGCAAAGCATATCATCAAAAGAGTAAGGAATGATTAAGGTTTTTTAATGTATTGGTTTATGATCAGAGTCAAACTCACACACACAAAAAAACCAATGTGAAGCTTAACTAAATTGATTATGTGCCATCAAGCTGGTGTAGACCAGTGTTGTCCAAACTTAGCCACCTTAAGATGAGTGGACTTCAACTCCCAGAATTCCCCAGCCAGCCATGCTGGGGAGTTGAAGTCCACTCATCTTAAAGTGGCCAAGTTTGGACAACATAGACTCTTAGTGATTGCATAGATAGATTTTCTCCAGGAGGATCTGTCCCCAGCTTGGTTCTTCAGGTCTTCCAAGGGTGCCCCCGTTGCCACTGTAACTGAGTCCATCCCCCTTGCTGCTGGTCCTCCTCTTCTTCTCTTTCCTTCCACCTTTCCCAGCACTAGAGCCTTCTCCATAGAGTGAGGTCTTCGCATCATGTGTCTGAAGTAGGATAATTTGAGCCAGGTCATTTGTACCTCAAGTGAATATATTAAAAATAGGAATCTATAAATAAAATTGTCAGGCACTATGCTCTTAAGTATCAAACAGCAATGGCAATTGTTCATAATTTGTCCACCCTTCTGGAGTTCTCAGATAACCTGCCAGCTAGAAGAAGAATATTCTTCTCTGAGCTACTAGATACTTGGGAGTTAGTAGATACATTATCAGATCACCTTGCCAAGTCATATAAAAACAGCATTGCAGAAGCATATGTGAAACGTATTGATTCCCCCAGCAGATAGGGCAGATTGACTCTCATACACCAATGCTGTTATATCTTCCTTCCAGAAAAAAGGATGGCAAAACTGAACTCTCCTGATAGTTGGGCACAGAATATTAGCAGGATATTTTTTGGCTTAGGAGAGGAGTCTTCCAGACAAAGCTGCCCCTTACAAGATGTTGTGGGAGGAGAGATGGGCCAATCTATGGAGCCCAAAATCAGGATGAGTCTGGTAGCACCTTTCAAAGCTAACGTACAAAAACTTTTGTGTGAAAGTTTTTGTACAAAAACATGTAACTTTTAAAACAAAGTGTTCGTCTAAAAGGGTGCTACCAGACTCATTCTGATTTTGGGCTCACACAAAATGGGAATTGTACCTAGGTCATACTGAATATTGTTTGTTTGTTCATTATTTTATTTATAAGGCCACCCAAACCTATAGCAATTCTGGGTAGCATGTGACGTGTCCATTGCTTCAGCTTTAACCAAGCTCTCTCAGAACTGAGCTAGGTCAAATGTTGTATTGATAAGCCATAAAAAAGAGGTACTGTAGAGAAAAAGCAGAACACATTTAATGGAAATAAAAATGTTTTGGAAAGGGATGACAAAGGCTAAGCAAGAAAACTCCAACAGAGTGACTAGAATTAAAATAGTAGTAATGAGGTGATTTGAGATGAAGACTGAGCAAATGCTGGAAGGTTTAGTAGGCCAAAGAGTGGAATGCAAACAAATGCTATGAATATTGCCATCCAGGAAAAAAATGGTGAAAGTTGCAAAAATGGCAAAAAAATGGCAAAAAAAGTACCTAGAGCAAGTAGACGAGTTTCTGTTTACTAAAAATAGGAAATGAAAGGGTTGTTGTAATTTGATTGATTATGGCCGCTCACTCCAAAATGTGCAAACGTAGTGAGCAATATGTGATCTGTTGTGAGGAATGTGACAAGGGAAGCAGAAATGGTTGTGTATATGCTTCTGTCTAACTTGTTATATGAAAGTGAAGGTTGGTTGTATCAGGAGTATAAATGTAAGTTGAATGCAGTGGAAAGGAGAAGGAGATAAAACAAAAATAAGGATCAAGAATGAATGGGTGCTGAATGAATTTAATTAGTTTTCCTGCACATTGCAGAGGGTTGGAGTAGATGATCCTCATGGTCCCTTTTCAGCTCCACAATGATATGATTCTATGAAGGTTGCTTGAATGGAAAGATGAGCATGAAAGGTGGTTTGGTCATACAGAGAGAATGAATGAGGATGAACTGAAAACTGTTATGTGAAGGAAGAATCAATGTGCGAAGAGGAAGTCTGAGAAGTTTGAATGGAGGTGATAAGAGCCTCAGAAAGAGAGATGAGAGGTTTAGAGAAGAAAAAGCAATGGATGAAGTAGTGTATGGTCATGGTGGAAGCCAGGACAATTTGCCAAGAGAGAAAGCTGTTGAGGGGCAGAATACATAGAGTTGGTGTCAACTAGTTACGTTTCCTTTTCTTACAGTCTTCTAATCTCGTGACTTTATATTCCTTGTCTTAACTGCCCTCTGTACTCTGTTACCCCCCCCCCCCAAGACAGACTCTTGATCTGATTTGGCTTAGGCTGCACTTGGAATAGATTTCTTATCTGTATTTACCTATTCTGCATTTTTCCCAGGCCTACAGGTCTCCGAATCAGTACCAGGAAATCGTGTCCAGCTGCAGCTGTCAGATCTGCATCGGGACATGGAATATTGGGCTAATGTCTATGGGGAAAAGGAAGGAAATCGTAGTTCTCCAATCAGCGCTACTTTCACTACTGGTAAGTGGATGGGCTCAATGACCGCGAGTGATGGGGGCACCATTGGAAGATCTGAAGGGCCAGGTTGGGGACAGACCCTCCTGGAGAAGTCTATCTGTGTGATCACTAAGACTTAACACTGACTTGATGGCACATGATCAGTTAATCAGTCAATCCATCAATCAGAGTGGATAGTGGAGTCAATAGAGCTATTTCTGAAGATTAGGAAGACATGTCTATTTGTTACAGGTCTCATGGGTTTACATGGAAAGCTATCTGCTTCGCTGAACCCTGAATATGCTTCACATTCCCAGCTGTCAGGAGAACATCTCATTTCATTCACTGCCATGGATGAAACTGAGTTAATAATGCCAGAGTATTAGTAATAAATATACTTTACTACTTTCCCTCACCTAGTGTGCTCTCTACATGAGTGTGACTGCCTTCTCTCATACCTCCCAGTCAGATAGGGAAGACATAATCTCTTACTCATCTAGGGGCATTTATTTGTGGAAGCCTGGGATTGATCATGATCTAAAAACAGGCATAACAGGTTTTAACAGCTATGCCTTAGACCAGAGAAGGCCACTGTCATAGTCTTAGGACCCTAATCAGGGGCTAGAAGCAACCCTTTGCCCCCCAGCCTGGCCTCTGAATATTTTTAAACACAGTTGTAAAGCTGGCATTGTTTCACTGTTTCTGAGACATCATGTTATAGGTCCCAGAGGTGTGAGTTGCGTTTAAGGTAAGAACAAGACTTTTACTGAACCTGGGAGTAAATCAGAAGACAGTGAAGAGATGTATCTTTGTAACACATCAGAGCTGATGTATTACAAAGCTGAAGCTCAAGGTAGCTGTCTACATTTTAACCTTACTGAATTTCAAGCACGGAATTCCATTTCTGCTAAAAATTGAGCCATCTTAGGCAGAAAATATACCACATGAGTGCCAAGTGCTTGAAGATGAACAAGGTGGCAGGGTTCACACAACACCCTGAGCCAAGGCAAGTGAAACCAGATTATCTTGTCTGTCATGCCCCACTTTAGAATTTCTCAGGGGATTGTTAGAAATGTTGGACAAAATGCCACTTTGGCCTGATTTTCCAGAATAATTCATAGATTTTCTCTGCTACTGTATAGGGCAATGTTTCTCAACCTCGACAACTTTAAGATGTATGGACTTCAACTCCCAGAATTCCCCAGCCAAGCATGGGATTAATTGATCATGTGCCATCAAGTCCACACATCTTAAAGTTGCCAAGGTTGAGAAACACTGGCATAGGATAAGGTAGAGTTGAACTCATAATTGTACAATCTTGTTCATTCATTCATTCATTCATTCATTCATTCATTCATTCATTCATTCATTCATTCTTTCTTTCTTAAACTTGTATGCCGCCCATCTCCCCCAGCGGGTGACTCTGGGCACCTTTTTTAACTCTCACCTTCCTCCTCCTGCAGGAGCAGATGGGCCCCGGGACCTTCATGCTACAGAAATTTCAGCCCGCAGTGTGCGTCTCACCTGGTCACCCCCTCGTGCCTCATCTGAGGGATACCTGTTGAGTTATGAAACCCCTGATGGACAATCAAAGGTACCTAACTGCATGGCTACTATTATATATTCCTGCTGAACATAAAATAGTACATACAGTTAGTACTGTAATATCCTTATGCATACTATTGTTTGTTTCAATAGAAGAGACTACCTGTAGCTCAGGGTTGAACTCTGGAGTCCTTGGTGCTCTCTGAGCTTGGTGGTTTCCTTGTGGATGTTTCATTACCCAACTAGGTAACATCTTCAGCGCTAGCTCGTTAGCATCATCAGTGCTAACTGGCACTAATGATGTTCCCTAGTTGGGCAATGAAACGTCTACAAGCAAACAACCAAGCTTAGAGAACACCCAGGACTCCACCATATTGTCTGTTTGTTTTATTAGGCTTATATGCTGCTCCAGTCATGGAGAGCCAGTATGGTGAAGGTGCTGGACTAGGAGTGGGGAGTCCCAGGTTCTAGCACTACCCACCACTCTGCACAGAGGTGTCCTAGGGACTTTGGGCTACTCCTTTCCTCTAGCCCAGAGTTGATGTGGTCTAGTGGTAAAGGTGCTGGACTAGGAGTAGGAAGGTCTAGGACAGTGTTTCTCAACCTTGGCAGCTTTCAGAGGTGTGGACTTTATTCTTTGGACTTTCAGAGGTGTGGACTTT